GCTGTACACCCCCCCCCATCATCGCTATAAAACCCCCCCATCATCATCAGCTATACCCCCCCATCATCGCTGTGTACCCCCCCATCATCGCTGTACACCCCCCCCCCATCATCGCTGTACACCCCCCCCCCCATCATCGCTGTACCCCCCCCCATCCCCCCCCCATCATCACTGTAACCCCCCCCCATCATCGCTGTACACCCCCCCCCCCCATCATGGGCTGTACACCCCCCCCCCCCCCCCCCCCCCCCATCATCGCTGTACACCCCCCCCCCACCATCGCTTTACCCCCCCCCCATCATCGCTGTACCCCCCCCCACCATCATCGCTGTACACACCCCCATCATCGCTGTACCCCCCCCCCCCATCATCGCTGTACACACCCCCACCCCCCCACCACCATGGCTGTACACCCCCCCCCCCATGTTTGGGACCCCCTGTATGACCTTTACCGGGGGTAATCAGGACGGATGGCGGATGCAATGCTTTACAAGCTGCTAATAAAACAATTATAAATACACATTTTTTTTACCTGCAAAACACGGCATTTATTTATTTATTTCATTGTTTTTTAAGGTGTGAACTTCTATTGTTGGAGAATATTTCTCTGGCTGTCAGTTTGCATTTGTATCTTCTATGCTGGGAAAAGGTTTCTTTGAGTTGTGATGATTTGGTTTGTGATTCTTATGATGGGTCACCATTGTGAACTAACCATCCGTTTTACTCTTCTAGAAGATCAGGAAATATTCCCGGACACATTCCTTGCTGACTCCCCAACATTAATAAAAGGGGGCGTTCAGAAGAGGGCGACAGACCCCAGTGTAGCCGAAGGGATGATGGCGTGCCCCCTGTCTTCTCTGACAGCCAATGGTGAGTTCACACATGGGGAATGCCCTTCATCACTGAGCTGACAACACTGTCTCTGCTGCACTGAAATCCCAAGCAGTGTTGTCAGCCCCCGGCCAGTTCTTCTCTGTATTACTAATAGCGTGTTAGGAGGCCTGGATCCCAAATGGGAAAACAGATTTGATGAAGAGAGGCAGCTCTGTAATGTGGGGTATCCCTGAGGGTCCCCAGAAAAGTGTCCAAGGATGAGAGTGCCCCCGGATAGTGTACGTCCAGTAAATGTTTATCAAATGTTACTTCAACTTTAAAGGATAAATGTAAAGGTGTACAACCCCCCCCCCATCCCCCGATACCTGCTGTACAACCCCCCCTCCCATCCCCCGATACCTGCTGTACTTACCTTTGGGGTGGGAGCTGTCAGGGCTCCCACAGGTGACCCAGTAGTCCAGGGATTCTCTGGGCAGCACTTCCTGGAAGGAGCAGATGGATTCTGATTGCTCGGCGCTGTCACAGGGAGTCTATCTGGTCCGTCTTGTGAGCGCTGCACAGAAAAGAGCGGATATTTCACATTCCCTGACCACTGGACCTGCTGAAGAAACCCTGACAACTCAGGATGGCCAGAAGTAAGTACAGAGGGACCTGGGGGGGGGGGGGGGTACGGTGTTCATACACCCTCTGCACTGCATTTGTATTGTGGAGCTCACGGTGAGCTGACTATCTTCTACCCCCTCTGCTATGATATGTCCCCCCCCCCCCCCCATGTATGTAGGATGGCATCGGTCTTGGGCAAGCGCCTGGTGCTGAAATCAGCGCCATCCATCAACTCTCATCCATTCTTCTTCAAAACATCACGGTCAGACAGCGGTGGGGGGGGGGATAGAGGGGCGTGCTGCGTGCTGTCACCACGCTAGCCCCCAGTCTACAGCACATGTAATACATACATGCACTCTGTCACCTAGAGCTCAGGATGAAATACACATTATAGATTCTCCTTTGAAGCTGGACTCCAGGTATGAAAAGAACATCAATGAATCCTCATAATCTCCTGTACAGCAGAGCTCAGGCTGGGAGATGGAGGAGCATCAGAGGGAACCAATAGGAATAGATAGAATTTGTGGTGGTTTTTGCCCATGTGATTGGTTCTGGCCTCTTTCACATAACCGTTCCAATCAGGTCCACCTGTCAGTTTTTGGATTTGGCTAAACAGGCCAGACTTCCCTCCCCACTCCATCAATGAGACTTCCCTCCCCACCTCCATCAATGAGACTTCCCTCCCCACCTCCATCAATGAGACTTTCCTCCTCACATCCACCAATGAGACTTCCCTCCCCACCTCCATCAATGAGACTTTCCTCCTCACATCCACCAATGAGCCCCCACTGGGTTGTTTTCTTTTTGTGCTAAAAAGATTGGGGAAAAAAAAAAACCAAACCGTTTTCTTTGTTCTGTTATACAATTTTGCACATTCTCCTCCAGGTTGCTGATGCCTCTCCAGTCGCCGTCATCTCGTCCAGCGTGCCCGCCAGTACTGGGGTGCACTTACCTGCGGGCGCCGTAGTTACTTTGGCTCCCGCCCCCAGACATCATCGGGATGAAGGACAGCGGAGGAGATGTAAGTCCCTGATTTCAGTCTTCTGCTTCATTCTGCCTCAAGTATTCAGGGAAAGGGAAAAGCTGTCACTTTGTAACAGGTTCTCTTTATAGCCCCGCCTCCTCTGCGGCTCTTTTTGTATAAACGGTTTGGTTAGGAAGGGAAGGATTACCATACACTTACAGATCTAAAGCCAGCGAGTTATAGAGGAAATAATGCAGCATGCAGACCTTTTACTAAAGCGCAACTCCACCAAAAAGGGGAAATTGCGCTTTAAAGTGACATCAAACCACTTGCCTACCGGGCACTTTTACCCCCTTCCTGCCCAGGCCAGATGTCACACTTTGAATAACAATCGCACGGTCATGCAACATTGCATCCAAACTAAATTTATAGCTTTTTTTTTTTACAAATAGAGCTTTTTTTTGCTATTTAATCATCACTGGGGGGGGGGGGGGAAGGGGGGGTTATTTTTGTGCTAAACAAAAAAGAAAGACCAAACATTATGAAAAAAATATATATATTTTCTCTAAAGTTTTGTAAATAGGTGATGTTTTCTCCTTCAATGATGTGTGCAGATGAGGCTGCACTGATTGGCACTTAGAGCCAGCACTGATGGGCATTGATTGGTGGGACTGATGGGCACTGACAGCCAGCACTGAGAAGGCACTGATAGTCAGCACTGATGGGTATTGATCAGGAGGCACTGTTGAGGCTGCACCAATATGCAGAACTGATAGACGACACTGCTGGGCACTGATAGGTAGCACTGATGGGCACAGACAAGCGGCCCTGATGGGCATTTATTGGAGGGACTGATGGGTACTGACATCCAGCACTGAGGAGACACTGATGGTGTCTTGGAAATTCGCTTTAACGAATTTCTCCTTACCGTGAGTACTCGCAGTTGGATGCGCAGAAATCCCCCATAAAGCTGTGCGAATCTCGCTTACCACGACTGCAGCTAAACTACACGATTCCTGCCCATCCAGCTACTTTTAGCTTCTGTTGAGATGTGGATGATGGAGCTCCGTTACCCTAGAATAATCACACGACACTCTAAGGCTGGTGTTGCAATTCACATAAGGGCCGGCTTCAGACTCAGCCTTTGGTTTTATTACAAATACACACATGCCCCCCACATGAATAAAGTTAATCCCCTCCCACCGAACAATGCAATGGGGAGTGCCTATACACAGGATGTACATTCCTATTGGAGCATAGCCTTTCCTATTATCTATCACTGGTCCTCCCCCATGAGCCTTCTGAGGTCAGCAGATTTCCTCCCCTTCCTCCCATGAGCCTTCTGAGGTCAGCAGACTTCCTCCCCTTTCCCCCCATGAGCCATCTGAGGTCATATTTCCCAGCTCCTAGCAGTATGTCCATTCCCTGTACAAGCATTCCCTAGAAATATCAGTCTGTACCCGGATGGGCCCGATACGATCTTTATTAAAACACATCCATCCAAGATACAGTTCAGATTGGTAATGGGTTGTAAGATATGCATAAGCCTACATGCGGAGTTCGTACCGCTTGGCGCCTTGCGTTATGAAGTCCATGTGGTACTATGCTGCTGATATGTGGATACAGGCCCGCGGTCTACTGCCAGCGGCATTCGCATCGAATGCCGTGGTGGTATACACGCCGGTCTATAAGCGCAGATCCGCCATCTCATCCATTACCGAGCTGAGTACTGTAATACATACATTGTACATGCGCATGGCCCAATTGCAGCCTTCAGAGCTTTAATTAAGCCACACGAGAGACATATGAATAACACGAATATATGACACATTTAAAGTTCGACCAACAATACAAAATTTCCATGACACAGTGCAGCAACTTAAAAGGTGAAACTAATATATGAGACTCATTACATGCAAAGCAAGATAGTTCAAGCCGTGATTTGTCATCATTGTGATGATTATGGCTTACAGCTCATGAAAACCCCAAATCCACAATCACAGAAAATGAGAATATTGTGAAAAGGTGGAATAATCTCGGCTCAAAGTGTCCCACTCTAATCAGCTCATTCAGCCATAACACCTGCAAAGGGTTCCTGAGCCTTTAAATGGTCTCTCTCAGTTGGGTTCAGTAGGAATCACAATCATGGGAAAGACTGCTGACCTGACACCATCACTGACACCCTCCATAAGGAGGGAAAGCCTCAAAAGGTCATTGCAGAAGAAGTTGGATGTTCCCAAAGTGCTGTATCAAAGCACATTAATAGAAAGTTATGTGGAAGGGAAAAGTGTGGAAGAAAAAGGTGCACAAGCAGCAGGGATGACCGCAGCCTGGAGAGGATTGTCAGGAAAAGGCCAATCAAAAGCGTTGGGGACTTTCACAAGGAGTGGACTGAGGCTGGAGTCAGTGCATCAAGAGCCACCACACACAGACGGATCCTGGACATGGGCTTCAAATGTCGTATTCCTCTTGTCAAGCCGCTCCTGAACAACAAACAACGTCAGAAGCGTCTTACCTGGGCTAAAGAAAAACAGACCTGGTCTGGTGCTCAGTGGTCCAAAGTCCTCTTTTCTGATGAGAGCAACTTTTGCATCTCATTTGGAAACCAAGGACCCCGAGTATGAAGGAAGAATGGAGAGCCCAAGGACCCCAAATATGGAGGAAGAATGGAGAGGCCCAAGGACCCCGAGTATGGAGGAAGAATGGAGAGGCCCGAGTATGGAGGAAGAATGGAGAGGCCCGAGTATGGAGGAAGAATGGAGAGGAGGGACCCCGAGTATGGAGGAAGAATGGATGGAGAGGACCCCGAGTATGGAGGAAGAATGGAGAGGCCCGAGGGCCCCGAGTATGGAGGAAGAATGGAGAGGCCCGAGGACCCCGAGTATGGAGGAAGAATGGAGAGGGCCCGAGGGCCCCGAGTATGGAGGAAGAATGGAGAGGCCCGAGGGCCCCGAGTATGGAGGAAGAATGGAGAGGCCCCGAGGGCCCCGAGTATGGAGGAAGAATGGAGAGGCCCGAGGGCCCCGAGTATGGAGGAAGAATGGAGAGGCCCAAGGGCCCCGAGTATGGAGGAAGAATGGAGAGGCCCGAGGCCCCGAGTATGGAGGAAGAATGGAGAGGCCCAAGGACCCCGAGTATGGAGGAAGAAGATAGGAGGAAGAATGGAGGAGATGGCACAAGGACCCCGAGTATGGAGGAAGAATGGAGAGGCCCAGGCCGAGGACCCCGAGTATGGAGGAAGAATGGAGAGGCCCAAGGACCCCGAGTATGGAGGAAGAATGGAGAGGCACACACTGCAAGATGCTTGAAGTCCAGTGTGAAGTTTCCACAGTCTGTGTGGATTTAGGGAGCCATGTCATCTGCTGGTGTTGGTCCACTGTGCTTCATTAAGTCCAGGGTCAGCGCAGCCGTCTACCAGGAGATTTTGGAGCACTTCATGCTTCCTTCCACAGACAAGCTTTATGGGGATGCTGACTTCATTTTCCAGCAGGACTTGGCTCCGCCCACACTGTCAAAAGCACCAAAACCTGGTTCAATGACCTAGGATTACTGTGCTTGATTGCCAGCAAACTCACCTGACCTGAACCCCATAGAGAATCTATGGGGCATTGCCAAGAGAAAGATGAGAGACATGAGACCGAACAATGCAGAAGAGCTGAAGGCCGCTATTGAAGCATCCTGGTCTTCCATAACACCTCAGCAGTGCCACAGGCTGATAGCTTCCATGCCACGCCGCATTGAGGCAGTAATTGCTGCAAAAGGGGCCCCAACCAAGTACTGAGTACATATGCAGCTTCTACTTCTCAGAGGTGCGATATTGTTCTATGTACAATCCGTGTTTTATTGATTGCATGGAATATTTCTCATTTTCTGAGATTGTGGATTTGGGGTTTTCATGAGCTGTAAGCCATAATCATCACAATGATGACAAATCACGGCTGGAACTATCTTGCTTTGCATGGAATGAGTCTCATATATTAGTGTCACCTTTTAAGTTGCTGCACTGAAATCAATGAACTTTTGCACCAGATTCTCATTTTTCGAGTTTCACCTGTATATATATATATATATATATATATGTATATATCTCTCTACAGTGTATATATATATATATATATATATATATATATATCTATCTATCTATCTTTCTCTCCATCTATCTGTCAACAAATAATATATAGTATATATATGAGAGAGAGATAGATAATGTATATGTCATTTTTTTTTTCAATTTAATTGTATTTTCTCTGGTTGACTTCCAGGGTCACCACCTGCCCTGCGTTCTGTTAGGCAGCAGCATGCGTTCCAGCTGTGCGCACACTTCTGGGGGTGCGGGATATTCTGCCTCCACTGCAGCAGACATGTGAGTGCGTGTGAGTGTGTGTGAGACACTGTCTATGCTCTGCGGTGAGGAGGGTTGTTGCCAGCCTGCGGTGGGGCTCTGTGTAGTGCCCGGGGTCTGTGCGGTGCCTGTGCGGTGGGGTCTGTGCGGTGCCGGGGTCTGTGCGGTGCGGTGGTGGTGTGTACCTTCAAGGATATGTTACATGTTACACCCATATTCAGGGTGTAACATATCACAAAATGATCGAAAGAACTGAAATCAAATGGATGAAGGGGGCGGGGCCAGGGACAGGATGGGGAGGAAAGGGTGAGATGACACCGAGCCCCCAGGATTGAAAGAACTGAAATGCAATTAATGAAAGGGGCGGGGCCAGGGACGTTCAGGATGGGGAGGAAAGTGTGAGATGATGCTGGGCCTCCGTGATTTAAAAGAACTGAAATCCAGTTAATGAAAGGGGCGGGGCTAGGGACGTTCAGGATGGGGAAAAAGGGTGAGATGATGCTGGGCCTCCATGATCGAAAGAACTGAAATCAAATGGATGAAGGGGGCGGGGCAAGGGACAGAATGTTTATTAAACACATTTTTTTTTTTTAAATATTCAGGCATTGCATGGACACCTGAAGAAGGACCCCAAGAAATAAACAGAAGAGAGGACGGTCATGTGACTGCAGCTCCAGGTAAGTGCAATGGGCATTTGAGGGGGTGATGGGGGTGTGAAGAGGGGGTGCTAATATCCTGGAGTTGGGTGTTGTGTACTGACCCAATCATCAGTGAAGTCACATGTAGCGCCGTCCACTGGGATCTCATGCCAGCCAATAGCTCCGGGCTCAGCTGCACCGGGAGACGGTCAGCAGTCCGCACCTCACTTCTGAAAGAACGAATGCCGCCTCACCCGCTCCTGGCACCAGGGGTGAAGGCCTTCCTCACTGACCGTGTTTGGGGGGGTTACAAAGTCCTGTTGGCGTGTGCCAGAGAGGCTGGAAATACCACCGCAGGCTGGCGTACACTCCACGCCCATGAGCCTAAAGGGGTGTGCCCCGTGACCTCTCAGCGCGTTTCGTCCCTGTGATGCGGGACTTCCTCAGGAGACCCGGAGGCGGTATATTTTATTTGCTGAATTGGTTTTATCTTTAGCAGTGGATTTTTAATACATATATATATAAATGTATATTATCTGCTTCCCCGCGCCGCCCTATAGTAGAAGTACTGCTACAGGGTGGCAGGGCTGCACAAAATCACATATACATACGTGACTTTTATTTCCGGGTAGGGGGCGCTCTTGTGCTGCCCTACCTGCATCACTATTGGCTGCTACAAATGTCAATCACCGGATCCCGGCTGGCGATTCCCATCTGGCACTAGGTGATTGTTGGGGAAAGCTGACAGGAGAAAGGTCTGTATGCAAACAACACAGGTCTCTCTCCCTGTCAGCAAGGACATGCTGCTTTGTATCTCTCTGCACAGCATGTCTAACTGGCAACCCAGCACACAGTTAACCCTTTGATCACTCCTCATGTTAACCCCTTCCTGCCCAGTGCCATTAGTACAGTGTCAGTGTTTTTTATTAGCACTGATCACTGTATTGGTGTCACTGGGGATGTCAGTGACACCAAGTTAGTTCCCCCCCCCCCTCGTTTCAGAATGCCAACTGCAGTCCCGCTATAAGTCGCTGATCGCCGACCATTACTAGTATACAAAAAAAAAAAATTTCCAGTATCTATCCCGCCATTTGTAGACGCTATAACTTTACGTAAACCAATTAATTTACACGTATCGGGATTTTTTTTCAGCGAAGACACGGAGCGGAATACATTTTGGACGAAATTTATGATGAAATTTTATTTTTAACCCCTTGACGCCGAGTGGCCGCATATCTGCGTTCAATTAGAAAATACATATGTGCTGAGAGCGCGCGCGCTCTGCACACTCCCAACACGTGTCCGCGACTCACGGAAAGGTCCCGATTTCCCCTTTCGATCGGGACCTTTTCCGAACATGTGACCGCCATGACGGCGAATCACGGCGGTCACATGACCCTAAAACGCCTCCCGGCTTCTGAAACTCATAACCACCTCCCCTCCGGATGTTGTATATTAACGGCCAGAGGGTGGCAGTGCAGGGGCGGGTGGACGTTTATAATCGACCTCCCAGCCCCCTGCTTGTGCGCGCTCCCTGGGACACAGGACACAGTGGAACACCGATCGTCGGACGGGACCTCTCTGCGAAGTCCCGATCATGTGATCACTGATTGGCCAATCAGTGATCACATGAACAGTAGTAATCAAGATGTCACTTCTGACAACATTGCTTGCTACGTGTGAAATCTGTGAATGATCACAGAGGTCACATGGTACAGGGCTATTCACAACAGCCTTGTACCATGTGACAAGCTGTGACCAATCACAGCTCACACAGTAGTTCTCAATGGCTGCAGGAATGCAGCCAGAGAGAAGGAGAAATGATTCCTCTTACAGCCTTTATGGGTGTAAAAGCAATCAGTGTAAAAAAAAAAAAAAATCTTCCTCACCCCCGACAAGTAGGACAGTGTCACCATGGTAACACCGCACTCCTAGGGTGACAGTAGATAGAAAAAAAAAAAAAATAATAAAAAAAATAAAATAAAAATGTAAAAAAAATGTTTAAAAATTATAATTTTTGGTTATAAACTAATTTGGGTTTTTTTTTTTTTTTTTTACTAAAAAGATAACTGAATAAATTTTGGGCAAGATTTATGATGAAATATTATTTTATTTGCAAAATTTTGTAAGAAAAACACTTTTTTTTTCAAAATTTTTGGACTTTTTCATTTACATAGCAAAAAAAAATAAAAATCCCAGCGGGGAATAAATACCACCAAAATAAAGCTTTATCTGTCTCAAAAAAAATGCTAAAAAATTCATATGGGTACAGTGTTGCATGACCGCGCAATTGTCATTCACAGTGTGATAGCGCTAAAGCTGAAAATTGGCCTGGGGGGCAAGGAGGGGGGGGGGGCAAGGGAGGGGGGGGGAAAGTGTCCGGACTGGAAGGGGGGGGAAAGTGTCCGGACTGGAAAGGGGGGGAAAGTGTCCGGACTGGAAGGGGGGGAAAGTGGACTGGAAGGGGGGGGAAAGTGTCCGGACTGGAAGGGGGGGGAAAGTGTCCGGACTGGAAGGGGGGGAAAGTGTCCGGACTGGTGAAGGGGGGGGAAAGTGTCCGGACTGGAGGGGGGGGAAAGTGTCCGGACTGGGAAGGGGGGGAAAGTGTCCGGACTGGAAGGGGGGGGAAAAGTGTCCGGACTGGAAGGGGGGGGAAAGTGTCCGGACTGGAAGGGGGGGGAAAGTGTCCCGGACTGGAAGGGGGGGGAAAGTGTCCGGACTGGAAGGGGGGGGAAAGTGTCCGGACTGGAAGGGGGGGGGGGAAAGTGTCCGGACTGGAAGGGGGGGGAAGTGTCCGGACTGGAAGGGGGGGGGGAAAGTGTCCGGACTGGGGGGAAAGTGTCCGGGGGGGGGGGGGGGGAAGTGTCCGGACTGGAAGGGGGGGGAAGGGGTCCGGACTGGGGGGGGGAAGTGTCCGGACTGGAAGGGGGGGGGGAAGTGTCCGGACTGGAAGGGGGGGGGGGGGAAGTGTCCGGACTGGAAGGGGGGGAAGTGTCCCGGACTGGAAGTGATTAAAGGGTCGGGAAG